AGAGAGAGACACACACACACACACGGGGTGGGGTGGGGGTGGGAGGGAGGATTAAAGAGATGCCAATAGAGAAAAACAGCTCCACATACAGAAGGACAGGTGAAAAAATCAAACAAACGTAGTATGTATTCAATAATGTACACATAGCATACACACAGGTACGTTCGTGCGAACTTGTCCACTTTATTTCCACTCTAATTTCAAAATAGCAAACCTTGTCAAACCAGAAATGCAAGGAAGCTCAACAAGCGAGAATTGCGTCAACGATGAATGAAGGTAGCGCTTTTTTCAACCGTATTTCCACCTGCTCAACGAATTAATTCCCTCTTTCTTTCACACCTATTCCTACGTCGCAAATCTATACACAAGTATAATAATAATATATAATAATAATGATCATAATAATATGCACGCACTCGTGTGTTGGCGTAAACAAACCTTTCCAATGATAATCCGTCCTGGCACAGCTGAATAGAACAGCACACCACACGACGAAAAAGCACTTTCCTTACGCACACAAACACACAGAAGATACAAATAGGCCAGCGATCTCTGGTATGGTAGACTTTATTAATCTCCTTAATCAGCTGACACACTTCCGTGGAAGCGGGTGATTAGGTAGGGAGGTCTGACAATTAGTAGTGACCGGTGGCGGGGAACAGAATTCTAGTAAGTCGAATCCCGATCGTAGCGCCAGAAGTCAACGAGTAGACTGAAACGTTTAGAAAACTGACTGAGGTTGACACTTATTTACTATTTATAATATCCACCTACGCATAGTGTTATAAAAACAAATAAGCAGAGATTGAATGACAAAAATAGTCGAGAGCCAAATAATTATTAAAATATGGAATGCTTTAAATAAACCAACATATCAATGAATAAAACAAATCATAAATAAACAAACAAATAGGTAAACAAATAAGCAAATAAATAAATAAATAAATAAATAAATAAAAAATATAGGACATTTTAATAATGTTCTATCTTTTTTGGCAGGTTTATGACTATAAAGAGAGACAAAACAGGACACGTTTACTTTTCTGTGAAGAAACGAGCGTGTGCAACAATCTTTCGTTCTTTTGCAGAAGTCGTATTAGATGTAGATCAAATGGATAGACGAGATGTTGGTATCGGTATCAGATGTCCAGGGTTTCCTGCTAGTGAAAATCATACCTTCGGAAGAATGTAATCAGATATTGTCAGATACTGGTATGTTATTAATAGCAATCGCGGACAGCCCAGACTTGATACACCCCAGATTCCCCCCAAGCGGAAATGAAAATGAATTAATATTTCTCGTCTGACCTCTGCAAGATTCGATATTCACGTTTTGGTCGATTTCTCTACACGAGCTAGATTCATCTGTTGGCTCAGTGTTTTGCGCTGCTGTACTGAGTTTTGAAACAACGACAAGACTTAGAATCTATCTACTACTGTTTACGTGAAAGACGAACCAGCGATTACAACGTTCAATGTTATGAAGCGTATCTGCTATTGTTTATCACAGTAAACGTTTAACACCTGCATCGATCTCTTTTAGGATGCCGATAAAAACTGAGTGGGATTACTATCCCAGCAGCCAGAGGAAGATATTTGACTGACTGACTCCCCTACTTGGGAATCGAACCCATGTCTTCTGCGTAAAGAGCTGTCTTACCATCCAACCACAGACGTTCGTCCTGTGTTCTGGGTACAAAGGGCCCCTCTTTTATAAATCCTCCCATTTTTCAGGATTGACAAATTAGCAATTTACACTCACGCAAACTATGTTGTAAAAACTGTCCTATAGATCTATTAAATAAGCAAGAAATACAGATCATTGTATAGTGGATGGCAAATGTATGCGTCTATCAGGCTACGGATTTGTACACATATCCCCCCCCC